GCCAGAGAAGGCAGTCATCTGCTACATATGTGCCAATGACCTAGGACCAGACTCTGTATGCTCTTTGTTTGGTGCCTTAGTCTCTGGAAGACCCCAGGGGCCCAGGTTAGTTGGAATGGTTGGTCTTTCTGTGGTGTTGCCATCCCAGTCTGCTTTTTTGGTCTTTTCCCTAACTCTTCCATAGGGCTCCCTGACCTCAGTCCAATGATTGGCTGTAACTCTCTGCTTCCATCTCAGTCAGCTGTGGTAGAGCCTCTCAGAGGACAGCCATGCTAGTCTCCTGTCTGCAAGTATAACATAACATCAGTAATAGTACCAGGGTTTGGTGCCCGCCCATATAATGGATTCCAATTTGGGCTAGTCACTGGTTGGCCTTTCCTTCAGTCTCTGCTCCATTTTTCTGCCTGTATTTTTTTTTTTTTTTTTTTTTTTTAGACAGGAACAATTCTGGGTCAAAAATTCTGAAGGTGAGTTGGTATCCCCATCCCTCCACTGGTCTCGTCAGGTTCCATCCCCCTACTGTTGGGCATTTTGGCTAAGGTCACCCTCACCGAGTCAGTGGAGCTTCACAAATCTCAGGTCTCTGGGACTTTCTAGAGGTCCTCCCCAACCCCACCCCCACCCCCAGAAGTTTCATATTTCCATTTCTTTGTCTTACGGAATCTTTTCAGTTTCATGAGGTCCCATTTGTCATTGGTGTTTTGCAGGAAGTCTCCCCCATGCCAATGTGCTTGAGGCTAGTTCCCAATCTCTGCTCTATTAGATAAAGTGTATCTGGTTTTGTGTGGAGGACCTTGATCCACTTGGACTTGAGCTTTGTAGCAAGGTAATAAATACAGACCTACTTGCATTCTTCTCCCAGTGAGACCAGCACCATTTGTTGATGATGCTGTCTTTTTTTCCACTGTATGGTTTTGCCTTCTTTGTCAAAGATCAAGTGGCCATAGGTGTATGGGTTTACAATTATGGAAGGCTTCACAAATTTACTTGTCGTCTTTTTGAGGGGCCATGCTAAAATCATTCCACCTTTAGTATATATGCTGCCAAAGCCAGCACCCAAACTGGTATCCTATCATGACTGTTTGCTTATGTAATGCAATGGTTCTCTAAGACAACTCCTCATTTGTTGAGAGCCAGCTCCTAGCAGAAAGCGGCTATCATCTTTGCAGCCATCTTCAGCCATATATTTGCAGGATGATACTTTTCCACCATGACAGGAGACTTGTTTTTCTAGCGTGATAGTTTTGCAAGCTGAGCACACTCTGATAACGTCTTTTCTCAGACATATCCTGTTGTGGTTTAGTGCCCCCAGGTGCAGACACTCGTGGTTAAGTGTCTCCAGCTGCACTCCCCTGCTTGTGCTTATATACCCATAGTTGCCTTTCAATAAACGAGCCTTGATCAGACACCCCATCTTGTCTCCATTCTTCTCATCTCTTGCCCTCCATCCCCACTTGTAACAGCCGTTTCTTTTGTAACGGCCTTCAGGTTCTGCTACTTTGTAAAGGCCGGCCGGTTCTGCTGCTCCGGTCCACAGGTCAGGGTCTAGCAAGAGAGAGAGTGGGGACGGAGGAAGGGGGAAAAGGGGGCGAGAGATGCAAAAGATAGATACAAGACAGAGTCCAGTGGAGTCTCTTCAAGTCTCTTCTTTATTCTCCTCTCTTCTTCTATATTCTCCTCACTCCTTCTGACACCTCCTGACACCTCCCACCTTCTCACTCCTCCCACCTCCCACCTCCCACCTCCCACCTCCCTCCCACACATAGAAAGGAAATCCTGGGTATTTATACCCTTTACCACGTGACTTGCCCTCGTGGACAAGCTCAACTGAAGGCACTATGTCACGTGCCTTGTAGCCATGGATACCAGGAGCACCTTGCAGCTGGGGGCACTAAACAGTGTAACAAGATGTTTATCAGAGTGTGCTGAGCTATTGCAGGCTGTTGAAACAAGTCTCTTGTCAGGGTATATGGCTCGAGATGGCTGTAAAGATGACAGCCGCTTTCGGCTAGGAGTCGGCTCCCAACACCCACTCTCTCCCTTGCAGACCCTGTCGACTGACCTCAAAGGCCGGGCAGGTTGCTAGATCGGGTAAGAGGTTTTGATATGCCAGAATAGACTTGCTAAAAGGTCTTTTGTGTAACGCTCAATAGGATTCTTCTGCAAAACTCCTAGGCTGTCCCTCAGAAGCAGACTCCCCTGCTGCTTTTGCAAAAACCTATCACGTCTTGCAGTGCCCCTCCTTCTCTGACCATCTTGCTGACTTAGTACACTGACAGTTATTCATACAGGGTGTCAACACAGGAGAACACGGCTCACTTATGCATGTGCAGTACTGGGTAGTAAGCCAAAACCTCCATTCTAGGCTAGTGCTTTGCCTCTACGGAAGCTCCCTATCTGCTTTTCCACTTCTTACTTAGAAACAAGAGGCTCCATACTTTCCCCTACCTGCTTTGGATTCAGGATTCTTCTGCCATAAGATCCAAAGTAGCTGGAGGTGTAGAGGGAAAAGTTATGGATACTGGGTATATAGAATCCTTTTTAGACATAAAATATTCTTTAGGCTTTCTTTACAAAGACATGGAGGCATGAAGCAGGTTGGAAATGTGGACAGACTGGCTAGAATGCAATTTTGCCAGGTGTAACCAAGCTGAGAACCATAGTGACAGGGCAAGGCTGAAGTAACAGGGCAGGACCACATTCTTGGGAAAGATAAGCGTACAGAGAGTTTTCACCTGATCCTGACTCACGTAGGTTGGGTTCCTTTGGAATGTTCCACTATTTTTATGTTATACCACCCTAGCAACCCCCTCACCCCCTTCCCATTCCTTGGTTTGTGGTTTTTCCCTATAAAAACTCCTTTCAAACTGGCTGTCGGGGTCAATTCAGCTCCTGCGTGGGCATGCGAATTGACCGGCAGCTAGTTGTCACGCCCTAATAAATAACCTCGCAATTGCTCCAGTACATGGTGTCTCGAGCAGATTACTGGGTGGTCGTGACTTTCTGAGACTTGAGAGAGGGTCTCCCCTCTGCGGAGGTCTTCAGAGGCATAGGCAAGGGCACCCAAGGGGGGTTCAAAAATAATCTTAAGCAGATAATGCTCACCCCCACATGAGGGGTACTGCTGCTGGTATTATAAGCAAAACTGTGGACATGTTATTTCCCTCCCTCGCCTCTTTTTTGGGACAGTCCCACTACATGCCTCTGGGTCTCCTAGAACTAGAGTTTCTTCCGTCTCTGCCTCCCAAGTGACTAAAGGCATATGGCTTCATTGTTTTTTGAGCTTTAGTAACATTTTATAATACACAGATTGAAGATAAATATCAACTTATTGATGAGAAACAACTCACAAACTCAAACTATCATGGGGAAAGGCTTGATTTACAAACATCTTCTCTGATGAGTCTGGATATTTCTGTCTGTTTTTTTGTTTTGTTTGTTGTTTTGTTGAGACAGGGTTTCACTGTGTAGCCCAGGCTGATTTGGGACTCATGCTGTAAACAAGGCAAGCCTGGAACTCACAGAGGTGCCTTCATTTGCTTCCAGGATGCTGCATTAAAGGTGAGTTCCACCACCTCAGGCTGTGAAACCTGAGAGCTAAAAGCAGCCTGACTCCCTGATTTTGCTCTCCATCCTCTGTGAGGAAAACTTTATTTTGTGCTAGGCACCCACCCTAAATTACTAAATGATAAGCTCCTGGCAACTTCCTTCCTCCAGAAAATTGTTAAACTCTCTGAATGCTTGCTCAATTAATGCTTGCTCTGGTTTCTGCAAACTAGCTTACTGACACTCAGTTGGTAGTGAGGCTACCAGTGGTTTCCTCGAATAGCTGTAAATTCCATCGAAATGAAGTAATTAGGAACTTTGCCATTAAAATCCTCTTTCCTTTAAGCTGGGCCACAGGAACTGGGGAAAGCGGCATCTCACATAAACATTCGGCTCATAAGAACTAGACACAATTCGTGGTCTCCATGTTTCCTAACTAGGTGACACTAGTTTGCAGACAGACATTAGGGCAGAAATGCAGAACTGTTGGGAGCGACCTTGCTTAAACGTTAATTGCCTTGTCAGCCATTAGTGCTTACTGGCACACAGTCTTGGCCTTTGTGGAAAAATACCAGCCCAGTTGAGAACAAATAGCTATAGATCTTAAGGACAGGTGCTTAGCAACCCGTTCTGTTCTTTCTGCTGAACTTTTTACCTAGCCAACATCCTGTTCTTGAGAACACCTGCATTCCCCAGAGACAAAGCGACCCTACCCCACCCCCACACCCCATATCCTGCTTCTACGAGTATATAAACTGTGTGGGAAAAATAAAAATTCATCAGCTCGATCAGACTTGCTGTCCGTTCTTCGCGGCTCTTGTTCCCCCATTCTCTTCCAGGTGGTCCCCCCAGTCCCTGTTCACCTCCCCTCAGGCAGGGGCACAGTCGGGAGCAATCTTGCTTATATGCTGGAGGCCTAAGTCAGCCATACATGCCTACTAACACAAAGTCTTGGTCTCTGTGGGAAAACACTAACCCTAGAACAGGAAGCCTTGCTGGAAAACTACCAACCTAAACAAGAACAAGTAATCATAAATCTTGTGCGTAGGTAGCCTTGGTGTAAAGTACCAGCTCAGATAAGAAAAAAATGATTCATAGACAGAGTCATCGTGATTTGTTCCATCCTGGTTTTTTTCTGTGAACTTTTATACAGCCTGGAAGATATCTGTACTCCCTCTGAGTACACCCACGCTCCTGCGTCATCCCCTTCCCCACATCCTGCCTCTATGTGTATATAACCCCTGTGTGAAAAAAATTACAATATCAGACTACTGCAATCGCCTGTTTCCCCATTCTCTTTAAGGTGGTCCCCCAGCCCTAGTCCACTGCCCTGCTTTACCGGGCAAGGCTTAGAACCCTTAAGTAGTACAGTAACTCGCTCTCCCAGGTGTCCTGGAACGCCATCGCACAGACTTATGGGAAATGTAGTCTGTAACCAGTGACGTCACAGCTCGGTACTTTTGGTAAACCGAGTTCGTCTTTTGGTAAGCATGTGCGGCTCTTATCCAAAGCTGGGACAGACTCTGGTCATGCTGAGCTCTCCAGCTGGATCTCTGACATGAAGGTTGGTCCAGGGTTCAGTCATCTCAGGGGCTGTTCGAGTGCGTAGATCCGGAGGGAACAGCACCGGGTAGAATGGAGTAATGGAGAGGCTGATTTGGAGGAGCTTCCTGGTCGGGGCTGGGGTGGGGAGGGGAGGGTGCGGAAAAGGCGCTGCGGGTGGTGGTGGGAGTGACCTCTGTGTCAGAATGTATCTAGCTGACTGAATTCAAGGAATGGAGAAGCTTGTAAGGACCTGGGCAGTGTTGGTTGGGTGAAGGTCTTTGCCTGGACGTGGTGCTTCTGGGCGTTCACTTTCCAGCTTGCTGGTGGAAGTATTTGCACATTAAATGGGCCACTCTCCTGTGGCTACTACTGGACTTCTCATTATGTTTAGGCAAGTAGAGATCCGGTCCTTTCTGTACTTTATGCCTGTCCGTTAGGGACTTTAAGAGCACTGAGAAAGACCACCAAACAAAACTGTGAAGTAAAAGGTAAAAACCAAACCAACAAACCAAACGAAACTGCTTTATTTAGAGCCACAATCTCCTTTGCCAGTTTAAGAGTTGCTGCAAAAGGGAAGACAGGGGTTGGAATTCTTCAAGACACACGCCACAAATGTCTAAATTTTGTTGATTTTCTGCTTCACGAGGCATCCTATTCTTTGTTTTCTAAGCAAGCAGGTAATAGAGATTAAAGAAGCAGAATGCATGTCCGGTTAATATTGTTTGCTGTTTGTTTGTTGTGTTGTACAACGCTCAGTTGGAAATGGAGCTAGTTTTTAACCATCGCACACGCAACTACTCTTGTCTTGATTTGAGGTGACCGAAGTTGCTAGGTTTGGGGACACAGTCCCGTAGGGGAGATTACATATGTGATGTTTATCTCACTTTCTGTGGAATAAATTGTGGATGTAAAGATGGTTCACGTGGATGGATTAGGAATTCCTCGGGGAACTGTTTAATTCCTCACTTGAAAATAGCTTGACACCCAAGTTCGCTAAAAGGATATTGAGCTGTTTCTCAGTGTAGGATCAATCTACCTAAATAGAACAAGACATAAAAATTTTGCCTCAGGGGTTGTAACCTTAGAGGTTATAAAGCATGGGACTGTAAACCTGTCACAGGGTGTTAACAGAGGACAGCAGAGGTGCCCTCATTGTAAGATTGCACACGCGCTGCCTTTTCAACCGGCTGAGCCTTGGTCAAACTGTTCTCTAAATGTACAGTTCTGATTTATGGATTTGGGGTATATACTGTCTGTCCTGGTTGATGAACCTATGGTTGAACCCAACATCTGTATTCCCAATAATTCTCTGTGCTTCTGGATATCATGGCCTCTTCAGTCTCTCTTACCAGAGGGACTGGGGGATCCCTGAGCTTTGTATTGATCGTCCTAGACGTGTTAATCCTATAACAAGGAGCGGAAAATAATAGAAACCGTCAGCTCTCCCTGTTCCATCAGGGACAGTGACGTGGAGAATGCCAAACCCTTTCAGGATGGAGGCATGTGTTGGTGTGAGGGCAGATGTGGGCTTAGGGATTTTAGTGACTTGAGGGGTCTTGAAGGTCTGTGGAGGGGACACAGCTCTGCTCACCTGACAGGCTGTGTGCATTGCTCTCCATTTTCAGCCTTGTCTTCCAGGCTACTGTATAGTCTGGGATTTCTGGTCAACCAACTATTGCTGAATGTGGCGGGCAGGTTCTGTGATGTCCCTGTATAGTCTTATGAAGTGTTTCTCCAAGTACTTACATTATAAACACTAAAAGATGGAATTGAGGAGCTCTGGGCCACTCAGGGTCCTGTGATTGCCACGTTGTAGCCTCCTATTTGCTGTCATTCAGGGATGTGGCTATAGATTTCTCTCCAGAAGAGAGGGGATGCCTGGAGCCTGCTCAGTGGAATCTGTACAAGGACGTGATGATGGAGAACTACAGCAACCTTGATTTCCTGGATGACGATTGTATCTATAGTCGATTCTTTTTCATCATCAACATGTAGCTTCCCCCTTTGGTACAGTATCTCATTGAACTTTCTATTATACCCTTCCTTTTAAGGAAATACTGGGGAGACTGACATATAGCTAAGAAACGTGTTACTTTTCTTTCTGTCTTTGTAGCTTGTTCGTGTTGGAAGTATGTTTCCTCCACTTTAGTGGGAATCTTAGAAAGTTTATTTATATATTTCATAATTCAATTATTAATGTTTTTCCTTTAAATGAAAATCAGAATCTGCAGATTATAACTTCCTCCACAGTATTCTAATTCCAACCAGAAAACATGTAAAGAATTATTTTTTTATGATTTCTTTTATTCCATCATCACTTTTCTTATCAACATTGTACTACATGGCACAAGCCCAGCAGAACACTCAGTGTTGTTCCTCTTTCCTACTGTAAGATTCCGGCAAGCCTTAGCTTACCTGGGACGCTGAGTGAACCACGCGGGGCCAGGAATCAGTGCAAATAGCAAGAGGAATTTATTGTTCCAATGCATTGGGGTTTTCCTACACAGAAGGTGAAGTGGTGACCCCGCACAGCTTGTTCAGTGAGCTTCTTATACAGTTTTCAGGGCAGCAGCCATTAGGCACAATGTGACTGGCAGAACAGTGTGATTTTTTAAACTGATTGGTCTTTAGGGAATGAGGTGTCAAGGACTTCCGTTGTTGTCTGTAAAACCAAGGGTCTTCAGGTGTGAAAAGATAAAAAGTAGCTGTTGTGCCTCCAGGTGTGGAGGGAGTCAGAGGACAGACGAGACATCCAAAGATACAACAGGAAGCCAGGATCTACCATGAACACTGAGATTATGCTGTGGTAGAAATTATTTTCATGGTATTGCCTTTAACATCTTCTGCTATGACAAAAAGAGGTCTCTCAGACATTTATAAGTGTCTAAGCTTGTATTCCCCCTCTGGCGAGCTCTGCTTATATTTAACGAGTATGCAAAGTTCCTCATTTTGTTGTGTATACATTATAGTGCTAGACACGTGGATGCCACCCAATGCTGGTCAGACCAAGTCATTTATTTGCTGTGAAGAGCAGGCTGACCTAGAAAGACCTTTCCACCCTGAAGGGAGGCATTGGCCCTGGGCTGTATTGGCTTGGGAGAAGTTTAATGTCTGCTTATTTCCTTAGGGCATTTAGGTCTATTTAAATGACGTGCGTGATCTTGACATAATTTCAGTGAGTGGTATCTATGAAGAAAATTGTCCCTTTTTTTTTTTTTTTTTTTTTTTGATTTTCCAGTTTTATTGAAGTACCAGTGTTTGAAGTTTGACCTAATGATTTTTTTGGATTTCCTTGGTGTCTGGTGCTATGTCCTCCTTTTTTTTTTTTCTTTTGATTTTATTAATTTGGATGTTTTCTCTCTGTCTTTTCCTTAGTTTGGATAAGGGTTTGCTCATCTTGTTGATTTTTTTCCCAGAGAACCAACTCTTTGTTTCATTGATTCTTTGTGTTGTTTGGTCTTGTTGTATTGACTCCAGCTCTGAGTTTATTTCCTGCCATCTACTGCTTTTGGGTGTGTTTTCTTCCATTTGTTCTAGAGCTTTCCTCTGTGCTGTGTTGTAGTGTGAGATCTCTCCAGTTTCTTTATGAAGGCACTTAGTGCTATGAGCTTTCTTAGGACTGTTTTCCTTGTGTCCCCTGTAAGTTTGGGTGTGTTGTGCATTCATTTTCATTCAATTCTAGGAAGTCTTTCCATTTCTTTCTTACTTTCTGCCTTGACCTAGTAGTCATTCAGTAGAGGGTTTTCAGTTTCCATGAGTTTGTAGGCTTTCTGCTGTTATTGAAATCCACTTGTAATCCATGGTGGTCCAATAGGATGCAGGGAGGTATTTCAGTTTTCTTAGATCTTTTAAATCTTGCATTATGACTGGGTATATGGTCAATTATGCAGAATTCTGTGAGATGGTAAGAAGAAAGTATACTCTTTTGTGTTTGGGTGACATGTTCTTTGTATATATTTTAGGTACATTTTGATTCATAACATCTGTTGGCTCCATTACTTTTCTGGTTTTTTTTTTTTATTTTCTGGATGACATGTCCATTGGTGAGAGTGGGGTACTGAAGTCTCCCACTATTAATGTGTGAGGGTCCATGAGGGATTTAAGCTTCAGTATAGTTTCTTTCCCAAACATGTCCCTTGCATTTGAGATGTCATCCTGGTGGATTTTCCCTGTGATGTGTATGAAGTGTCCTTCCCCATGTGTTTTGAATAATTTTGGTTGGAAGTCTATTTTGTTAGATATTAGAGTAAATTACACCAGCTTGATTTTTGGTCCATTTGGTTGGAAACTCTTTTTTCCAACACTTTACTCTCATGTAATGTGTATCTCCGATGGTGAAGTGCGTATTTTGTATGCAGCACAGGACTGGATCCTGTTTTTGCATCTGTTCTGTTAGCCTGTGTCACTTTGTTAGGGAAATGACATAATTCATATTGGGAGACATTAATGACTAATGATTGTTAATTCCTGTTATTTTTTTATTGGCAGTGGTGATGGTAGAGTGTTTGTGTGTGTGTGTGTGTATGTGTGTGTGTATGTGTGTGTGTGTGTCTGTGTGTGTGTGTGTATGTGTGTGTGTATGTGTGTGTATGTGTGTGTGTGTTACCTTCTTTTTGTTTCACTAATATGAAATTATTTATTTCCTATGTTTTTATGTATGTATTTATCCTCCTTGGATTGGAATTTACCTTCTAGTGTCTTCTGCAGGGTTGGATCTGTGGATTAATATTGGTTAAATTTGACCTTGTCATATAATATCTTGTTTTCTACCTCTGTATATGGTAGGCTTGGATGGTATCCATGGTCTCTTAGAGTCTGCAAGATATCTGTTCATGCCTTTCTGGATTTAGAGCTTTTGTTCAGAAATCAGGAGTAATTCTAATCGGTCTCCCTATATATGTTACTTGGCCTTTTCCCATTGCAGCTTTTAATAGTCTTTTGTCATTCTGTATTTTTAATGTTTTGAATATTATCAACATGGGGACTTTCTTCTCTGGGCCCATCAATTTGCTGTTCTGTAAGTTCCTCGTAACCTTTAAAGGCATCTCCTTTTTTTAAGTTAGGAACGTTTTCTTCTATGATGTTGTTAAAACATTTCCTAGGCCTTTGAGCTGGAATTCTTCTCCTTCTTCTATTCCTGTCTTTCTTGGGTTTGGTTTTCATGGTGTCCCAGATTTTCTCAAGAAATTTTAATCAAGAAAATTTTTTCGGAAGAAACATTTTCTTTGACTTCTGTATCAGTTTCTTCTATCTTACCTTCTACATCTGAGATTCTCTCTTGTATTCTGCTGGCGATGCTTGCATCTGTAGTTCCTGTTAACGTGTATAGATTTCCTATCTCCAGGATTCCCTCAGTTTGTGTTTTCTTTATTTCTTTGACTTTTGTTTTCAGGACTCAGAACAGTTTCATTCATTTCCTTCACCTGTTTATTTCCCCTCACCCCCCCCCCCTCGCCCTGATTTCATTAAGAGGTGAATTCGTTTCCTTCAGCTGTTTGTGTTTTCATGAATTTCTGTATGCAACTCACTACTTTCCTCTTTAAGGACCTCTGTCATTTTCATATAGATGGTTTAAAGTCTTTTGCTTGTGTTTCATCTGTGTTGGGATATTCAGGGCTTGCTGTAGTCCGGTTGCTGAGCTCTGGTGGTGACGTATTGCCTAGGCTGTTGTTTTGTCCTTACACTTCCATCTAGGCAGCTGGTTTGCCATAGTTGAGTTTTGTTGCTGATTTCTGCATTTGTCTTACTTAATGGGTCTTTTTCTTCATGTTTCTATTTCCTCTGTGGACTTCTGTCCTGGTGGCCTGTGTTTATGGTGACAGGTGAGTCTACTGGTTCACTATGGTGCCTCCACTGGGGTTTTGAAAGTCTGGGTGACCTCTAGCCTTCTGGGTGCTGGCATGGCCTCTGGGGTCAATGTGCTGACATTATTCCGGGGGTGGGGGGGGTGTCTGAGTTTTACCTGGGGTCTGAGTTACAGTTTTGTCCTCTGGTAGAGCAGTGTGCTTCTCTAAGTTTTATGGGCTAGGGGATGGTGATGAGGGGGGTGAGAGCTGTTTGGACAAAGCTGTGCTGACTCTAAGGACTGTTTGTGGTCTGTGGCTTGGTCCTATCTTGGATTCTGGGTACCAGCATGTCCTCTGCCAAAGCAGGGGGCTTCTGCTATAGATAGAAGTCCTGCAATTTAAATTTAAGAAGTCAAAAACGTTTTATTCATAAAATTTCATAATATTATGAAAATAAACATGGTACTTTCAGTTATGTTAGAGGTAGTAAAATGTTTTGTTGCACCGTCCAGTCTCTAGACCTGTCGGAATCATTATGTCTATATTTAACATGAGTCCAAAAGGAAGAAGGGAACACTTGTTCCTTCTAGAGGTCTCCTGTTGATTTTGTAAACTTCCTTCTAGAGTGTATTAGCTTCCAGATCTGTTGAGTAGACATAAAGTACAAAGCAATTACAGTGGGTGTCTCCACTGCTTGAGAGAATTAGGGTGTGAGTGCAGAATCTAAGATCCTCCAAATCATGAGGGGATCCATCCTCCTGTACTGAGAGACACGAGGAGTAATCCATCTTTCCTGCAGATAAGGAGTTCCTGGTCTGGCTTACAGGCCAGAGTGGGACGGGAGCAGAAGACACTGCATGCATCCTTATCCTGTGAGGCTAGCATGCCATTTACTCTGATAGGTCTGCGACCAAGCCCGCCCAGTCAGCCAACAGGTTTTCCAGCTCAGGAGTGAGTGAGGATTAAAAGAAAAGAGACGATTAGACAATATCATAGCATGACCCCAGCCAGTTCTGAGGCTGAAGGCTGAGGCAGGTTTATTTTTTTTTCCCACTCTTCTTTTAAACCATTTTAATTACATGCAAGTATTTAGGTCAGTTCTAGGTTGAGGAAGCAGCAATACAATAGCTGCAAATAGTCAAGGAACAAACAAGGCTATAAACAAAGTCCTCTGATCACTCCCAAGTTCACTTTCACGATCACTGCATCTAAGGGCTCATCAGGATGACAAAAATATCTGAGCCTACTTTCCTGTCCAAGCCCAAAGTCATATTTGTGCCTGAGCCCTACTTCTTTGTTCTAGTCTAAGACTTAGATTTCTGACTGAAATTATTTCTGTTTTAGCCTAAAATTAGATTCCTGCCTGAACTTACTTCCTGTCATGGCCCAATGTCAGATTCCTGCCTGAAGCCCATTTCCATGTCCTTGCCCAGCGTCAGATTCCTGCCAAGCAGCCCCCAAAGCTCTCCACAGGTCTGTGTCCCATCTGAGCAGAAGTGTGCTATTTGATCCTGGCAGTGATCCTGTATTGATTTAACCCTTTTCATTCAAGCATTCAGTTTCAATAACCATTTTTAAGTATACCTGATTTGAATATTTTTGAATATTAAGCAATTTTGAAGTTGAACTTCACTGTGTTTGAGATACCTTAAGTTTACGTTTGTGCAGAGCACTGTCTAATGGAAGGTATAAATTTGTCTCTCTCTCCAATCTTGTCTCTGTAAATGAATTACATTTATACTTGTCATGAATTTAATCGCAGTTCTTGTCACATTACTTATAAGTAATCATTGATAATATGACTGTACTGATTAATTACCTTTGTTGTAACAGCTTACATTGTATTAATGACTCTCATATGTATCAGACTACTAATAATATGAGAATAATAAATGAAATAATAATAAATAGTAATAAATGAAAGTAATTGATCTTTATTAAAAATCCCATCCTTAGCTGGGCAGTGGCGGTGCACGCCTTTAATCCCAGCACTTGGGAGGCAGAGACAGGCGGATTTCTGAGTTCGAGGCCAGCCTTGTCTATACAATGAGTTCCAGGACAGCCAGGGCTACACAGAGAAACCCTGTCTCAAAAAACAAAAAAAATAAAATAAAATAAAATTAAAAAAAATTCATTGTCTTGATTCGTTGACCACAGACGTTCTCAACGTTCATAATGCTATGACCTTTTAATACATTTCCTCATGCTGTAGTGACCTTAACCACAAAATTGTTTTCATTGCTATTTCATAACTATAAATTTGCCTGTGACAGACTTTCGTCATGACTCATGGGTTAATAACAACTGCTGTATAATGTGCCTTTACTAAATCTAACTCAGTCCTACAGATTCGCTACATTAAGTAGCTTGTTTTATCATAAAGAATATAATCCGGGGGAGGAATAGTAAGGGTGAAAAGCGTACGATTAATTATCACCACAGTTCTTGTCATGACACAGTTTCTCCAATATCTTTAATTCATTGCTTTTAAAAAAATGTAAATAGAAGTTTATAACCTTAGGAACAATGACCTCACATGAGAGACAAGCCAGTTTCAGTTCCACGCATTCAATCTGTTGAATGGTGTAAGAACAGTGGATCTTCCAAAGCTGTAGGTGCGCTGTGTGAGACTATTTTCTCAGCAGGAGTCGTCAGCTGGGGCAACAGTTGGATAAAACTCGGGCGAAATGGAGTCACGTTTGACAGTTCAGTACCAGACTTTGCACTGTTTCTTCTACGCCTCAGAAAATTGCACTCATTTGTAGACACCAAGGTGTGTGTGAAACCATTGGAAGACAGTAACTTCACACATGAGTTTCTTTCCTAGAAAATTCCATAGCATTCTTTTCTGACATATTTACATAACATGTTCATGTTAGCAAAACTCACCTCATCAAAGTTGCTTTAAGAATTACAGAAATATCATGTAACTTTTCCCCACCACATATTCAGTTATAAAGATTTAAGCGTACACTAAATTTTGCTTTTACTTTGATGATGGCCCAATCTCACACAATCACAGTTAACTTTCTCTTCCCAGGCTACACTACTTTATACCTTCATGGATGACCACCTATGTAACATTTATACTGTTTAATGGGTTTGTTAGTAAAATGTTACCACTTACTTTGAAAAACAAGACATTGTGTTTATGTTCTATTTGGTTCCGAAGTTATTCCAGCAGAAGGATAAATTACTTCACCTACAGTATTTTTTTTTTATTTAAGTACACCAAACTGCTTTATCACGTATCAGTCTAAGTTTTGTTTTATTTTTACTTTTTTCTTTTATTTAGAATGAAGATGTACTTAAATTGTCCAGTCCAGTCTTGGATCCGTCTGTCAGTAACTTCTGAGAAGCTAGAAATGTAATCAGGCTGACAAAGGCTGAGTTGGAAATCACTTTTTAAAAGGTAATTTTCATCTCCACATCAGCTTAGTGCTTCATTATTTTAAAGGACAACTGAGTCAACATGATTTATCAGGGGGTAGTAAGACTCAAATCAGAACAGGTGGACCAGAAAGGACTTGTAACCTAATATTTCTGTGAAAGGATTTACTCACATCCATACACCTCTAGTTGTGGCTCTGGAGTTGAAAACCATCCTCACTCCCCAAGGTTGTCATATGAATTCTGCATTTTCCTTCCACACTCTACTGCAGGTTTCTGAGGAGAATTCCAGGAACAATAGAAGTCGCCCTACCTGGATTCCAGGAATTCCTTCTCGCCGGCTTTTGGCCACGTGACTCTGACGTCACAAGGAAATCCTATCTGGCTTTTGATCAGCACACGTGAATCTTCTCCAAAGTTGGACTGGCGTCCCTTGCTGCAGTACATTCCTGTAGTCTCTCTGACTTGGAGGTTGGTCCAGGGAGCAGCATAGCTTGGGGCTTTGTGCAGGAGCTTAGTTCCGTCTGGGCTGGGTGGGAGGGCAGAAAAAGATGCTTGAATTTGCCACGCTGAACTGGCTGGGACTTGTGAGGTTGCAAGGAAGGGCAGGTTGTTTGGGATTGTAACGATTTCCTTAGGACACCGGAACAGCTCGGTAGTGGGGGAGTGGATGATAGTGCCAGGACCAGGATTGC